CTTCTTTCCGAGCTTATCTCACAGGTTTCACTTGTATCTATAGTAGCAACCACCTGAACCATAAAAAAGTTTGAATCTTAGTGAAACTGAAGATGAGCTTTTACGTCTTTTGCAACAGAAAAAGTAAAACGTAAAGTAGCTCTACCTTATCCTTGTCAACTATATCCCTTCCTTGTCAACCATCATCTTAGTTCAATGAAAACTTCTTCCCGAGCTTATCTCACAGGGTTTCACTTGTATCTATAGTCGCAACCACCTTAACCATAAAAAAGTTTGAATCTTAGTGAGACCGAAGATGAGCCTTTGTAACAAAAAGTGAAACGTAAAGTAGCTCTACCTTATCCTTGACAACTATATCCGTTCGTGTGTCTTTGAGGACCTTTCCCCCCGCATTTCCAGTAGACACGCTCTATTACGTTTAATTGTATTAGTATTAGTTTATGGAATCCATAAGCCCTTATTCTTAAACTCATTAAAAAAATCATTTAAGTTGTAGACACACACACATATATATATTTGTAATTCGAAGTTAATTTAAAATATACATCTTTTCCTAACCCCAAATTTATATCTTTTCAAAACCCATAAAAATGTACCTTCTCCGCATCCGTGTCATCAAATTTAATTGTATGAAAAAGAATGTGTTATATCTCTTCGTGATGGAAGACATCCTCCACGATCTCTCCACGCCTAGAATGAGCTTGAACTTCATAAGCTCTAACAACCTTCAGCCTTATAGCCTAGGTGGATTTGGTGTGGTCCACATCCTTTATGAGAGACCACATACCCGATCGAACTGTATTTTGTGCCATACTTAAGTTGCAATGCAAGGATGAACTATGTTGAACAATTGAGATAGGGGATGTATTTATACTACATTTCTGCGCTGCATTGATAATTCGGACCATTGAACCCAGTGGATATTTCATAACATGCATCAAGGGATGCACGACACATTAATTTGAAAGGATTGCGCAATATAGATTATGACTAAATATTTCAAACTTTTTAGCCGATTGAGAAGCCCAAATTGTTAAATACTTCGTAAAGACATATACAATAAAAGAGTTTTATAACTTTACACGCTGCTCTTGTTTGTAAAAAGCAAAATTCAATCAAAATTCCAGTACATAGCATTGATTGTGCTTTAATGGCTTTAGCCGAGGCCTGTGTTTGTAACCTGGCCCGACCCTTATTGGCCTAGCACTTTGGGCGGGAAAAGTAGGTTGTTTTTCTCCTGCTTCTGTATAGAGGAAGATTTCCTAGTAATTTTTCATGAAGAACTCAATTTGTCGAACAAGGTCACTCAAGTGGGCTTAGAAGAGATAGACGAGGCCATTGACTTAAACTTTGGGCCTTCTAAATTTGCAAATACTAGTTTTTTTTTTTTTAGTTTTCACATCTTTGTAGGCGTATTCCCTTGCTCAAAGACATAACTTTGAGAGTAGCTTGGAGGTCTACCCTCGATTCCAAGATAGAGTGTCTGTCTAAATATTAAAATAATTGGTTAGTGAGGCTTAGGATATTTTTACTTGGACTGTTTTTAGTCCCTGACCAGGCTTAAACAGATCAGACTAGACCAGACCAGGCTTGACTTCCGCACTTGTAAAATATACAGAGACCAAACGTTTACCAGACCAATTCAGACCAGTCCAGACTAGACCATACTTAAACAGACCAGACCAGACCAGATTGAAACAAACTAGACCAGACCAGACCAACGAATTACAGTCCAAGTAAAAACATCATTAGTTTTGACTGCAATTGGGTCTCATCTTTTCTTCACGTTTAGTGTTCCTTTGGCGTGTTATATCTGTTGATGTCTCTCGTACACCCAAAGTAGGTACTCTAACACTTGTGTTAACATGCTTTTTTACGCTGGCCCAGAGTCAAGGAGAGGAGCCAGGAGGAGCCTAGGGTAAACAAGACTGAAATTGCCTTCATGGAGTTTCAAACCCAAGACCTCCCGCATGCGATGATGAGTCAGCGACCAGTTGAGCTGGACCGTTTCCTCGTTCTATTTTAGTATAATACTCCCTCTACCAAAATGGTAAGATATGTATGAATTTGTTAATTACATGATTAAATAAAATAAGTGATATAGTTATTCTTTTTACAATTGTAACTTTCAGGAAAAGAAAGTACAGTTGCATAAAAATAAAAAACTTAAATGATTGATAAACTTGGAAAGTAATTAGTAAAGTGTTACTACGGTTGAATTCGAAAAAATGTTGTTATTTCTTAGTAGACCCAGAAAAAGGAAGCATATCTTACCAAATGGGGCACATGAAATAATAATAATTTAAAGAAATACGACTTATATATGTACTTTTTGTTATACAAAAAAAGATTTATAAGATGGTATCTCAAATTTAATGTTACAGAGTAGGGGTGGACTGAACCGGGCCGGTTCGGGCCTCGGGCCTGGGCCCGGCCGGGCCTCGGTTCAGAATATTGAGGCCCGAGCCCGAACCGGGGGTGGCCGGTTCCGGGCCGGTTCCGGGCCAGACCGGGCCGGTTCAGGGCCGGGCCACCCGCCCTATTTTTTTTTTTTTTTTTTTGTTTTTTGGCTTCTTTATTTAATCCCCTACCCCTCTTTCTCAACCCCAAACCACCCCAAACCACCTCAAATCGACCAAAATACCTAATCTAACCCAAAACATAAAAAATTTTCAAAAAAAAATAAAAAAAAAATTATTTCCGGCCCGGACCGGGCCCGAACCGGCCGGGCCGGTTCACCATATGGAAGGCCCGGGCCCGGAACCGGGAACCACCGGGCCGGTTCGACCCGAACCGCCGGTGAACCGGGCCACCGGGCCGGGCCGGTTGCTACAGTGGCCGGGCCGGGCCGGTTCCGGGTCGGGCCGCCCGGCCCGAGTCCAGGCCTATTACAGAGTATATAATTGTCTAGGACCTCATAAATGTTGTACACGACCCTTCGTTGGATTTCCCATGCTGCCCTAAAACAAAGTTTATGTTGCTTTAAGATTTAAATTTTGTGACATTGCACTAAAACAAATTCATATTGCAATAGGATTTGACGATGTTGCACTAAATCACTTTCATGTTTCACTAAAGAGGTGTACCGTTTTTTTAAATACTTGCGAAAATGTCACCGCACAAAGTTGCACATTTCAACGCATCACAAACCGCTTTACTATAACGTAATCGAATCTAACGACTAATATTCATTCACATTCCTCACCTAAAAGCTTCTTTTTATTTGAATATCATCCTATGGATAGAGTATATGTACACACACATCTTCCGGTTGCGGTAAAACACTTCTTGTCATGAGAAATGAGAACTGCTCAAACCGATGCATATTATGGTTCACGGAAGTGCACATTTATAGTTAAAATATTGCAAAGTTCAAATATGCATATTTGTGGTTAAACTAATGCACAATTCAAATGCACATTTTCAAATTTATGAAAGTGCACGTTTATGTTTTACATAATTCACGATACTCAAATCCAACGTTCCAAATTCATTCTCATTTCTGTCATAAGATCGTGTTCTTATTTGATCCTAATTAGACACACACACATGCATAGATGTATATTAAATGAAAACTTTAGTAATTAAAAAGCAAGAAGGAGTACAAGAAGAAATATGTAAACGAAAAGACAAGAAAGGAAAATACAAGCAAGTCAATCCGAAGTACAACATAAAAAGCTTCCATAAAACCATAACATCTCAATCAAGTCATCATAAATTCATAATGCCACCTTAAATTGTGATCTAACTATCATGACACAAGAATGTTGATTTTTTTTCTTGTATATCTTAATTTGAGTTTTTAAGTCATCAATTCTCCTTTGTGACCCGTCTAATTTTTTTTACAAATATCTTTTATATGAGAGCCCATAGATCCTCTAATGATGAAATAAGATCTATTTTCCCTTCCTTTGTGTTCAAATTCGTGTTGATCAAACACTTTTTTCCTTCGTTCAAGACTATATTTCCTTCAATTCAACGTTCACCAGTTAGACATGGTACATATTAGAGACTATTCGTACCATCGAAATTAAAGGCTATTTTCCCTTCAAACACCTTTTCCCTTCGTTCAAGGCTATTTTTCATCCAACTCAACGGGTAAATTGAAATTACTATACACATTATGGATCATACTAGGTAAACAATAATTACTACACATCGTTGGCCGGCCTATTGACCACCATGTGTAAATCTAATCATTCCTTAATTCCTTATTTATTGGACACTAGATAATACTCCCTCCATCCCGTTAAGATTGTCCCATTTTTGCTTTTCGATTCGTCCCTCTAAGATTGTCTCATACTAAAATTAATAAAATTTGTGTGGTTCTAAATCATTCTTACTTTATTCTTATTTTATCAATTCAATATCAACCACATAAATTCACTTTTATTGGCATGTGTGCCACTCCTTGTACCATTGTTAGTGGGATGAAGAGACTAATTACTAGGTAAACAATATTACTTACTACACACATTGTTGGCCTATTGACCCCTACGTGTAATTCCGTACTTATTGGACACTTGATAATTACAAAAATGATGTTTGTACCCACTCTTATACCCACTTTTATATCCACCTATGTTTGTGAAGTGTTTTTTTGTCTGTGAATCCCAGTTCACAAACAATATTTTGCACAAACAAAATATTGTATGTGGATCGGGTTCACCGAAAAAAACACTTTACAAACATTGTGAGTATAATGTGGGTATAAGAATGTGTACATCAAACATTGTTGTGATAATTATGAAAGTAAACACAACTTTCTCTTACAAAAAAAGTATGATTACTTGAACTTATTTGAGTTAAATGTCAAATTAGATCGAACTATAAACTTTAACAGATCAAAAGAGACTATACTTTGATAGTGGTAAAATATACATATACATATGATTTCAAATCAAATCATACCAAAGCAAAATCAAATTGACCAAACCAAATCGAAAATTTCAATTCAGATCAATTAAAAACACTTTAATACAAAATAAATCGTACATACTCCGTATTTCTCTTCCAAAACATCTTGAGTCCTCGCCAATCGAACCCTAAAACAATATGAAAGCTGACCAGTGCACTTGCCGCTTACACTGTATGTCATCATAGCAAAAACGCGTAGAAATGTAAAGATAGGCGATTGATCACGCCGTTTCTGAATTCCATTTTCCCAACGCGGGGTTTCCGAGACTCTTTCGTCTACTCCTCTGATTCTATAACCCCTTTCATAATCTTCTTCGCCCTCAATTTCCATACCCAGGTATCTGGAGTTCCATTTACAATCTTCTACAATATATGCATACAAAACTATACATGTTCCAAATTGATATAATTATCAGGTAAAAACAACAACAAAACATTTCCTATCCTAGGTATCAGTATCTGTCAACATCATCACCATATTTATTTCAAATCATCGCCGGTTTTTTCTCAAATTTAAGGAGTTAGGAACAGTGTGGACCATGATGCGATCGTGTTTCAACCAATTGGAGAGGTGTTTTGGCCGGCGGAACGGCGATGGACTTTTGTGGCACCTGGACTTGAAGCCTCACGCCTCCGGAGACTTTTCAATCGCCGTTGTTCAGGCTAATATGTCCCTCGAGGACCAGAGCCAAGTTCTCACTTCGCCATCAGCTACTTACGTCGGCGTCTACGACGGCCACGGCGGCCCTGAAGCCTCCCGATTCGTCAACCGCCATCTCTTTACTTATATGCAACGTGAGTGAATTACCCTGATTTGTCTTTTCTCCCCAATATATATCTGTGTGTAATTACATGTGCATCGGTGAGCTAGTAGTTCGCTAGCCCTGGGATATTATGGTGCTTCCTGCTTTTTGATACCGTGTTTTCTCCTTTGTTAGTTTAAGCTCAATGTTTCGACTTCATCCAGGGATTTGAAATTTCGTGTATTAAGATGGGAGAGTTTGAAATAAATAGAGAAACAAAAAAGATGGGAGAGTTTGAATTCTCTAAACTTGCAATTCTTGAATGATTTCTAGCCACTGTTATATCTTATTTGTGTACTCTGTTTTGGTCAGAATTTGCCAGAGAGCAAGGGGGATTATCAACGGATGTCATTAGAAAGGCTTTTCATGCGACAGAAGAGGATTTCATAGGATTAGTTAAGACATCTCTGCCAGTAATGCCACAGATTGCTTCAGTTGGATCTTGCTGCCTTGTGGGTGCGATTTCTGATGGTCAATTGTATGTGGCTAATTTAGGGGATTCAAGAGCAGTCCTGGGAAGGAGAGGTGTGGATGGGGAGAGGAAATCTGTTGTAGCGGAACGGTTGTCTACAGACCATAACGTATCTTCTGAGAAGGTGCGGAAGGAGGTTGAAGAACTCCATCCTGGTGATTCACCTATTGTGTTCTACTGTCATGGGGTTTGGAGAATCAAAGGCATAATTCAGGTAATCCATATAGAGATGCTCTTTACCCTTCTATTTTTTTGTTTTTGTTTTTTTACATTTTCATCCTATTTTATCTAGTTTATAATTGCTCTTGTATGGTTTATTCATAAATGTGCATTTGCTTGATACGTAGTAATAGTTAAGATAACATGAGAATCAAGTTCTTAAAACAGTTCTTTATGATTTATTCAATTGGTTTGGTCATGAATATTTGTAGCATCATCTAGTCCAATTGCATTTATGGTATGCTCACTTATCCAGAAAGGGAAAAATCTCTCTAGAGACATGTGATATTAGTAATCTACATTTGTAGAGTTTTCAGGAAAACCCTTCAAATTATGATGGTCATCCCAAGATTTAGAGCAAGACATAGTGGATATCGTTGAATTGTTGAATGGTGGATATTTTATACAAAGGATCTTTATTCCCTCAGTGTCACCATAAGAGAGAAGGTCATTCTCATCATTATAGATATTAGATAAGAATCAAATCAGCTCCCCCATCCGGAATGTTCCCTTTCCCATTATACAATGGCATTATCTGTCCGTCTTTTGCAGAGAATTACCAAAGCATCTATCCTATTGATTTTAAAAGGGCTATGTGCTCCCCCCTCCCCAGTCCACTGTCACATGCAGCTGAAGTTAAAGTTAGCCAGTCTTTCTTGCATGGGACAGAGATAGAGATATCTTAAAGATTAGTTTTGTGATTTCAAGGAAGGCTTAGCATCTCCTACATCTTTGCCAGGTCATAGATCAAATTCATCCTGTGCCTAATATAAGCTACCTGTTTATACAATGCTAACCAATTTATTGGCTTTTTAACCTGAGGTAGCGTTCTAAGTTTCCCACCTAGCTCCATCTCAGCCCTAGCGAGGCACAAGGTGGTGTATCTAGAAAACATGTTGAGTGCGGGCCAAAGTCTTTAGTGAATACTGGATGCTATGGACTATAACAAATAAGTAATAGTAAATGTGTTAATTTAGCGAATGTCATCTTAAAATACTTCATGTCATACTCTCTAACTAAATGAAATGTTTTCCACGACTGTCATTTTCTATTGAGACTAAAATGCTTTTATAATAAAAAGTTTCTTCCAAAGATTCCTGCAAGCCTATGCTCTCACTGGTTTTACGGCATATGCACCCCTGGCACCAAACTATTGCCAGAGGGACTGCCTAGCGCCTTCTAGAAGACTACAACACAACTAAGCAATGTGAGCAGGTCGCTTTTTCCTCTTGTTTTTTCTTGTGCAAAACTTTTTACTAATATTTATACTTTTCACTTTAAAGGTGTCAAGATCCATTGGTGATGCCTATCTCAAGAAACCCGAGTTTAACAGACACCCAATGTTCCAGCAATTCAGGAATCCAGTACACCTGAAGCATCCTGTACTATCAGCTGAACCTTCAATCATTACTAGAAAGATCCGACCACATGATTTATTTTTGATATTTGCTTCTGATGGCCTCTGGGAACACTTGAGTGATGAAGCCGTAGTGGAAATGGTGCACAAAAACCCAAGACCTGTAAGTTTCCATCAATAACTGCATTGACCTTATTGCTTTTAGAATCCGTTTGGAACCTGGAATTACTAGGGTAAGAAAATTTGAAGGAAAGAAAATATCTTTGAAAATATAAGTTTAGGCTCAAACCAAAAATCTAGATGCTTCTTCAAAGTGGGTTGATTTATTTATTTCAATTATTAATCTTGATATATATAAAAGATATTAAAGCGCTAATCATATTTCAAGATAAAACCAAATGTAAGAAAAAAACTTTAGTTGGCAGTTTCTGTTTAATTATTTTCCTATTGTTTTCCGAGATCCAAAGATACCTTAATGCACAAAATACCGGAAGTGAATCAGAGATAATGGGGCGGTTAAATAATATGTAGTATACTTGAACAGGGAATAGCCAAGAAGTTGGTGGCAGCAGCTATAGAGGAGGCTGCTAAGAAGAGGGAGATGAAATACAAAGACATCCAGAAGATTGAGAGGGGAATTCGGCGTCATTTCCATGATGATATTACAGTGGTAGTGATATATCTGGATAATAACAACAAAAAATCTTCCCATAGTAAAGGGACTGTTGGCTATGTTAGTGCTCCCATGGATATCTTCTCATCTAATACAGACAATGTCACATAAAAGAGCAAAAGTCCTGGAGTTTCTTAAACAAGGAAGAATGTAATTAAGGATTAGGGTATACTTGGCCATATTTACAAGTTTGAGTAAGCTTTTTGGGTTGAAACTTGAAAGAGCCACCTTTTCATGGAAAGATGGCTTCAAGGTTGTAGATAAGTAGAGTTCTTGAGAACGAATCAGGGTTTCATGTGTTATTTTGGATCTCATAGTTTACACATTAATTTGTTCTTTTCCTCACATATGTTATATACGGAGTTCTTCAAAAGAAGTAAGATTTCTGTGACTGTTTCGATGATATACAGAGTACCTTTTAACTGGGTTGCTTCTATGACTCATTTTCTTTCTATATATGACACAAATATACGCAAATACTTCCTCGGTGGTATTACAGCATTTCTGTGCGTCAAAAATTGATTGAAGTAAAATAATCTGACTGCGCAATCTTAAATTCATGTCATATGTAAATTTTAACATCATTATACTTCTACTTAGAATGATGCTTCGGTACGGGACAAGACATTTCATACTGTTGTCCCGGTCCAAAACATGCCAAAAATTTGCAGCGGAAAAATTAAAAAAGTTGCAACACCAAAAACACAACAAATCGTTTTAAAAAACCACACAAAAAAACTTCATGATAAAAGAAACTACAACACATCAAGGATTCTACGAAAAAATGCTAACACAACAAAAAATTGTAGCTTAATAGTATACATACAAGAATCATAAAGTTGAAGCAAAAATAACTACATCACACACAATACTACAAAGGAATCCTCAAAAAAACGCTAAAACATTATTATGAGAAGTGAAACCTTTGATAGAAGGTAGTTCATACTTGGTAGATTGGAGTCCTTTAACTGTTTTGCATGTTAGACAGCTAATACATAATACTCATTGACATTTCGATTGTGGAATACAAGTATACAACGAATATTAATACTCCTTCCGTATTTAAATGATCCCTATTAAAGATAAAAAGTAGAAAAAGTAAGGGTAATTGAGTATTTTTAAAGAAAAAACTTATCAAAAAGGACAAGTGTAGGAAACTTTTAAATAAATCCCAAATAGGAAAGTGTAGGAAACTTTTCAATATGGAGGGAATATTTTTATTATTCGGACTATTTATTGAATTGATGGCATATTTAGTAACCTACTACAACATGCAATTTTGAATTCGAGACAACGAGACATATGTTACTTATTTCGATCTCATTTTATTTTAAAATGTTCTAGGATCAGTAGGGGGCGAAAATAATTTCTTCCAAATATAACTTCAGAACGGAACTGGAACGTTCCAGAAAAAAGAGGCTGATGAAGTGTTGACGGTCCATTCCCCTTCTCTCCGGTTTTGTGTTTGGAAGAAGATGCTCAAGTTTAGCTTTGACCACTTGCAGTTTTATTATTATTTCGTTTGAAAGTTTACCTTATTCTTGAATTGCTTGTGTAAGTGGGAGTAGTCGATCTTTAGCTATGTTCAGAGGTATTTGTCTCGAAGTTTCTGCTACGTACTTCCTCCGTTCTTTTTTAAATGCAACGATCCACTTTTTATGTTTGTCATCATACAAGTTTGACTATTAATATCTTTCATTCTTTATTAGTAAACAAATTAAAAAAAATAGATTTTGAAAATTTGAAGTGAGAAGAATTTAATAATATTTTTTTTTAAATTTAATTTATAATACATTAATAAATAAAATAGACTCAAAGTACGTGAATAGAAGAAAAGTCCAATTTTGCATTTTAGCAAACAGTTTATCTCAATTTTTGGTGAACTTTTTTATGTGTCCAGACCGAATGATCTTTAATTTAATACCGAGTATGAGTATATGGAAGTGAAAAATGAGCATGACCCTTTTTATCTCAGTTTAGCGAACAAAATATCAGAGTAATACTTTGAGGTCCTCGTCATATAGCCGCCGGTGCTAGTCAACAGTCGCCGGGTTTTGGAAAATGAGCACGAGCCTTATGGTCGCAGATTCCATCTGGAATGACATTGAGTCAACTCGGTCAGGTTGTCACCTATCAAACTAAACCAGCTCATCTTACAGTCTTACCTCCTTCAATTTTCAATTTTCAATTTTGTTTTTTCCCGACTTTGAATTTTATTCACGTCTCTATTGTGGTCCCAATCTTTGGCGTTCTCTGCCGCCGCCGCGTTGATGGCGCTGAATTTGGACCGGAGCACTGGGAGCAGTGACTGATGACCATCTCTCCACGTCGGTACATTCTTCTTCTTCTTCTTCTTCTCAGTTTGAATTTTGGGGGATTTTTTGGATAAATTTTGTACTTCATTGTTTAGATTGCATTTTATTTTTGGGAAAAATTTCGAGCGTGCAGCGAGGGTAGTGGATCAAAGAGGAGTCAAACGAATCTGCGGTCAACCCAGCGGGCGTTCCATTTTTCAGGTAATCAAATGGAATTACAGTCTTCAAGTTATTAAATTCTGCTGTTGAAGCATTTCTCGGATTTGGTATGGGTGGGGCAATGGGTCGGAGCAGATACTGACAGCCCATTCAGCCCAAGAGCAGACCTGACTAGGCCTAGGACATGAGTTAGCTAGCAAAGGATCGCTCTAACGGGCTGGCCGGCCCATTAGCATTAGCACTAGCCCACATTTGGGGCAGACCTAATTACTACCTCCGTCCCACTAACATTGGGACGGAAGAAAGTGACACAGTTATTAAGAAAAGTGAGTTTATGTGGTCGATATTGAATTGAAAAAGTAAAAATAAAGTAAGAATGATTTAGAGTCACACAAACTTTACCTAATTTGTATGAGACAATCTTAGTGGGACTTCCCAAAAAGGTAAAATGGGACGACAATCTTAGCAGGACTGAGGGAGTAGTAATTAAGTAGTGAAGATATTCTTGTAAACGTTTGTATATAGGCTGTGAACTCACAAGTAACTCTAGTACTTCATGCCATTTTATATGGAAAATTACATTTGTATACAAAATTACACACACCTTGTCTGTGTACACAAATGCAATTTTGTGTACAACAAAAATTACCCCTTTTATATACTGAATTGCTGTCACTATATCCTTATAATACTGTACCTAATTTCACATATCAATGGGTAGTCACAAATTTTCTGCCACTGCCTCCAAGAAAAGTCTGAGCGTCCGTTTTAGGACCAACATGTATAAAATAACTAACTAGTATATCCTGATAACTTCTCAGGATGAGACCCGTTGTTATAGGTGTCATGTTCTAGGATGGGGTTGGATTGTCTGTTTTGCATGTCCATGATTTAAGTGTTTGAAGCGCATTTTGAATTAACAACCCATGGTCCTTAACATTTATGTTCGTGTTTTTTCTCAGGTCGTTGGAGAGTCAAGGAAGAAGGAGGAGTATTTGTGCTTCCCAGAGCATTATTGTGCTTGCTATTCTTTCTTTTACGACGTCGTGAACAGAGGGGAACAACTCTGTGTGAGAATTCATTGAACTAAAGACTTTGGTCCACCTGCCCCCTTCTCAATTTGTTTTCTGAACAGTTAATAGACTGCAGTGTAAGCATCAGATTGCTGCAAGACTTGCAAATTCGCTAGGAGCATGCATTGATGTTATGGTGTCTGATGAAGAGCTGGCTGTGTTGCTATCCGAACTTTAATGGTAAATAATAAACTCTGCTTTTTTGTTTCTGGTCTGAAAATCCCCAAGACACTACTTCAGAACATCGAGTTTGTCCATCACACTGATAAAGTATTTTCTGCAAAAAAGCTGGGATGGGGAAGAAAAGCCACCAGCAAAGGTTTGGGAATATTACACATTTGATGAGAATATCTTTTGAGTTATGAGGGTGTGGTGGAGCTACCTCACTTATTCTCTTTAGGATGATAAATCCTTTCAACTGTCATTTGAAAATTTAGGAATACAATCAACAATATGACTACACTCTTTGAAGCTAGTGGATATCTTGGTAATTACTAACTTTTACTTCAATAGGGATTGCAGGATTGGTCCACTTATTATCTTCTTCAGGATATATGCCAATCACAGGGATTTTGCAGATATTGATGCCTTGGAACATGTAAATAATCAGCTTTGCCCAAAACTAAGGTTTGGATGGATGGTTTTGGAGGGGTTTAGAGAGGAATATTTTGATTTTTTTAGTTTATATCTTGTTATACATTCGATATTTGATGTTTCATACAAATGAAAGATTAACATAATATTTCATCATATAACATTTGGATCACCTTGTATCTGTTTTTACAAACATACTACGTACTACTTCAGGCTCTCTAAATATATATGTATCATGATAAATAATACTACGTAGTACGTAGTACGTTTCTAAAAACATCATGATATGGACTTGGCTCTCTAAAGTCTTTCCATCCTAACAGACCTCAAGGATTTGTAGCAGTGCCACACCTCTTACTTATTAGTTCAGGCAACAATGTACAGTCAATAGTAAGAATAATCCATTCCTCGTTATAAGGATGATGAAAGCAGCCGAAATACCATTTTATAAACCTACAAGAATGGATTCTTCTATCTTTTAGTGCTATGAACATTTAAATGCTGTGATTAAAGCTGAGAGATTAATTAGAGTTTTTTTCCGTATTAATGTTAATTAATTAATTAATTACGAAAATAGGGTTGGGTTAAAAGTATTTACCAAAATACTGCTGGGTTAACCATGGTCGGGGGTAAGTCGCCCAACGGTTGGGCGACTTATAAGTCGCCAAACGGTTTGGCGACTTATAAGTCGCCCAACCGTTGGGCGACTTTCCCTTAAGTAAAAATCGGGTCTCGCCCCAAACAGAACACTTCACAGAAGCCTCCATCTCCCCCAACTGAAAGTAGCTGCTGCGACGGACGAAGAAGAAGACGGACGAACCGCCATCTCCAACTCCGGCGCTCCTCCATCTTCGGCGACTCCACTCCGGCAACCCTCCATCTTCATCTTCAACACTCTTTACTCCTTATTCTAGGTAAATCCAAATCCATTTCATATAATTTTGCACTTAGGGTTTAGAATGTTAATTTTTTTTTAATTTTGGGATTATGAATTGATTGTGAATGAAGTTGTTGTGAAATGTGAATATGTATGAAATGTTGAAATATGATTTTAAATTGTTTGTAAATTGTAATGTGTATTTTGACATTTGAGCATTTGGGTATAGTTGAATGTACCTAAATTTGGGTATTCAAAGGTAGACATTGAATGTAGATATCAAAATTTGGGTAGTTTGTTATTGAAATGTGAATTGTTTGTGAATTTGGAGTTAATGATATATTACAATTTTGGAAGCAATTTCTATTAAAAATGTGAATGTGTATAAAGTGTGTATATTGATGCCTACTCATGAATGTTGGACAATGAGTTGTTATTAGAAGATGGATTTCTCAAGCTTCCCACTCGTGTGTCATTGGGGAGGGAACTATTATGAGAATGGTGGGCAAATATGCCATGAAGGTGGCAGAACGAGCTTTGTCATGGTTTCTCGTGGCGCTTGCATGGTCGAGATCCTTCAAAAAATACATGCAGCGACAATGATTCATCCCGGCCGTTCATTGCGGTTGAAAATGAAATTTCCCATGAACGGGGGAAAGTACATGCTTATGTCGCTCATTGATGAGCTAGCTATAACAAATATGTGGGGCATAATTCAGATGGAGGATATGTCGTCGCTGGAGGTATACATTGAGGAATGCTTTGACGCTAATGCTACTCAATCGACATCAAATGCTGGTGTATCTAGGCATGATGTCATTGCAGGGGTGAATGCAGGGAAGTCGTCAAAGGTTCCTGTACTAGACATGGTTATACAGGAGGATGGCATGTATTTGCACAACGGTGCATCATTTGTGGATGGGCAGGGAAGTGATGATGATGCAGACGAGAACATCAATGGTGACGACATGACTGAATCTGATGAAGATGATGGTGATACTGTGACATCAACTGCCCCGTCTAGCCACTTCACTAGAATGTATGATCTCCCTGAAGGTTTTACTGATGCGTGGATGAGTGGATCAGGTGAGAAAAGGTTTACCCCCGATGGTGAGTTTGAGGTCGGTCAACAGTTTGACAACAAAGAACAAGTCATCAATATGGTGAGCTTGTATTCTATCAAACGGAACCAATTCTATCGGGTGATAGAGTCCGACAAACACAAATGGGTGGCACAATGCAAAAGGAAGAAAGAATGTCAATGCCCCTGGAGAATACGCGCCACAAAGAACAAAGGCAACCTTGATACCTTCACAATTGTGCGTTATTCTGGACCTCATTCTGCTTCTTGTGTAGGCAACATCGACACTACAGATCACGTGGCCTTGACATCAGAATTCATCTGTAAAGATGTGGTTGACATTATTCGCACTGATCCTTCTCTTAAAGTGCATACTATCATCGAGATGTTGAAGGAAAAATATGGGTATACGGTATCTTACCGGAGAACATGGATGGGGAAGCAAAAGGCCATAGCACAAATATTTGGCGGTTGGGAAAAGTCATATTTCGAATTGCCCCGTTTCATGACAGCGCTCCAACATTCTAATCCAGGAACTGTTGTTCAGTGGTACCCACCCCCCAATGGTGCGACAGGTTATATGATGTTTCAAAGAGTTTTTTGGGCATTCAAGGCATCAATATCTGGTTTTAAGCATTGTCGACCCGTACTTACTATTGATGGCACACACATGTATGGAAAGTACAAGGGCACATTGCTCGTGGCCATGGGTTGTGATGCGAACAACCAAATTTTCCCAGTCGCCTTTGCAGTTGTTGAATCCGAGAATGGAGACAGTTGGCCATGGTTTATGGCATGTATTAGGCATTTTGTGACTAACAGGGAGTTGTGTGTCATTTCAGATAGACATGGAGGTATTGTTAGGGCAATGAATGAGGTTGGAAGTAATTGGGAGGAGCCTTATGCGCATCATAGGCTATGCATCCGTCATCTTGCTTCAAATGTGCACACTCATTTCAAAGACATTCATTTAAAAAATCTATTTGTGTGGACCGCACGGCAACATCAGAAAAAAAAATTTGATGGTGGGTTCAAGAAGATAGGTGAAATGAGTAGGGATGCACGACAATTTTTGGCCAACATTCCTCCAGAAATGTGGTCGCTGCACCATGATGGCGGGTACAGATACGGTACCATCACTTCAAATCTGGCTGAGGTTTTCAATAGCGTCATGAAAAATGCTAGATATTTGCCCATTACCGCCTTGGTCCAGGTGTCTTTTTACCGGGTTAATGCGTACTTTGTGAATAGGCGTGAAACTAGTAAGTTGAGGCTCACACAAGGCCACGAGTACTCCCCATACATCACAGATTTAATTGAAAAAAATAGAGAGAAGGCAAAGCATCACATTGTCACTCCTTTTGATTTAGGGCGAGGTATATTTCAGGTGGAGACCGGTTGTGGTGGCAGAACGTTGGGAAAGGGTGGGAGAAAACAAACTGTCCATCTACAACGGAAAACGTGCACTTGCAAAAAGATGGAGATATACAAGATTCCTTGCTCCCATGTATTAGCCGTGTGTAGACAACGTAGTTTGTCTTATGCTCCATTTGTGGATAAGTTCTTCTCTTCTGACCAATACGCCGCCACGTATCATAGGGTGTTCAAACCGATTCCTGATCGTGATTATTGGCCAAATTACAATGGACCCGAAATTGTGCACGATCCATCCATAATTCGGGCAAAGGGAAGACCAAAGTCGACCCGTATTAAGAATGAGATGGATGAAGGCCCACGAGGAACGGTTAGATGTGGAAGATGCCACCAAACCGGCCATAATAGAGCGACATGTGCAAAGAGATCATCTAGACAAGAGGGGGGGTCCGCCGGGTATGTGTATATTTAGAGTCAATCATAATTCATTATTTCCTTGCAAGGAAAATTAATAAATTCAAAAAAGGAAATTAAAAAAATGTAATACATTATACAATTACAACTAATACAATTAGAACTAATACAAATTTTGTTTGTAGGCATGGAGGTGATAGCGGATCCTGGGCCGAGTGATCCTTCTGTCCTGACACTGCAGGCCTCACACAGGAGTGAGGATGTTTGGCTTGGCATGGATGTGCAGGTTGATAGGTGCCGCGAGCATCTGCGGGGTTTGTCCCATTTACATGTCGACCCCAGAGTCCTAGCATATGTTCGTGCAGCAGGTTTTTTTACACTGCACAGGTTAGTGGCTACTGTGCCTTTAGATAGAGCCCTCCTCACTGCTCTACTTGAGCGTTGGAGGCAGGAGACACATTCATTTCACCTCCCTGTTGGTGAGGTCACCGTGACATTGGGAGATGTGGCTGTACTGACTGGGTTAGAGGTTGATGGGAGAGCTGTTACAGGCACTGCTTGTCGACAGTGGGTGGATGAGTGTGAGAGGTTGTTAGGCATCCGCCCCATTCTTAGGGCTGACCTTCAGGGGTCATCTCTTAGGATGCCATGGTTGAGGGAGCACTTCCAGGCCCTTCCTCCCGACGCTGATGAGATGATCATCCAGCAGCATGCTCGGGCGTATATATTGATGATGATGGGAGCCTCCATTTTCGCTGACAAGAGCGGAAATGAGGTTCAGGTGCTACACCTGCCTTTGGTGGAGAGGTTTGATGTAGCAGCACAGTTTAGCTGGGGTAGTGCCACCCTGGCTTATCTCTACAGGCAGCTGTGTCGCGGGTGCCAGAGAGGGAGCACAGAGCTGGGGGGATTTTTGCTACTCCTCCAGATTTGGTCATGGGAGTATATCCACATTGGCCGTCCCATTATAGTTGGATATCATGGCATTGATGGACAGCCACTGCCTGATGAGCCTCCACGTCTGCTAGGACCACATCATGTACGGGGCGTGGATCCTCTAGGCCGTCGGTATGTTTTCAATCGTTTGTATTTGTGTTAGTTTTTGTTGAATGTAAATGCATTAATAAAATCCATATTATTGATATTGTAACATTAATGGTTAGGTGGCTATATGCTGGTTTATCTCGCATGTCATCCGCTACTGGCCTCGGTGTGTACAGGGATGCATTGGATCGGATGTCAGAGGACCAGGTATGGTGTGTGTAGTATAACAGTAACTAGAATAGGTGTAGAATAAATACTAATTTTGTATGTTTACGAAACAGATCACATGGATGCCGTATAGACCTGATATGTTAGCAGAGTTGCCCCCAGCTGGACGAGAGCAGACTCACATATGGCGAGCACGTGTGCCGCTGATATGTTTTGACATTGTTGAGCTTCATTTGCCTGATAGAGTCATGCGACAGTTTGGGTTTGAGCAGGTCATTCCACGTCCTATCGACACTTATGTAGAGCTGCATAAGCTGGATAGGCGTGGGAAGCATACAGAGGATTGGGCACTCAGACATGTCCGATACGTGACTATGTGGGATAGGAGAGCTGAGCTAGCCGTGGCTGGGACACCCACATATGTGCCATCAGTTTCAGGAGATTACATGGGATGGTACTACAGCATCACTCGGTTGTTTGTGTCTCCTTCGTTCAGACTCCCTACTCATCATTATCAGCCTAGCTCATTGGCATTGCATCTTACGGTGAGTATATTACTAATTAGTAAAGTAAGTCATTTTATTTATGTAATACTTGTATGTATTTGAATGTAATTGTAATTGTGTTTCGTATTGCAGACCCGAGCTTTGCAGCGCATACATCAGCGGGCTACTGCCACTGTGACTGATATTCCTGATGTGGACATGTATGGACAGACTCTGACAGGCATTGTCTCGTTATGCTCAGATGTGTTGGGTCGAGTAGACTACGGACATCTTATACACATGCCCGCATCTCAGGAGATGGCATCCACGTCTAGTGCAGCCGCGGCTTCATCATCCCACACGCAACATGAGAGAGTGGTTCTTCAACCACGACAACGCCGTAGGCGTAGACATGAGCAGCAACATCTCCATGACGAAGCTGATGATGGGAACTTGTAGTTTGTCTTTTGTATTGTAGTTTTTCTTATGCAATAGATGTTGTAGGAACAATTTACAAGTTTTGATGTATTTTCTCTTGTTAAGTATTCTATGTTGTATTGATGTGTTCGAGTATGAATATTACATGATTATTTGTTATGGCATATATGATGATTGAACTGTGTTATACCGGTTATGATTTGAAAGTTTTTTAGCGCTGTTTATAAGGTGTTTTTTATGTTGTTGAGAGTAGGTGATTATCATGTGTTGTATCTAGTTTGTAACACTTCAAAAGGAGAAAGGAGACCTTATTTGTAGCAAACAGATCGGTCTGGATTGAACCGGGGCGAAAAACAAGCTGATTTGGTGTTTTAGGTAATAGGCACGATCGTGCCTAAGGAAATAGGCACGATCGTGCGTGGCTGGCAGTAGCTGCTCGTTTGAAACCATATTTCAGGGCAAAGTCGCCCAACCGTTGGGCGACTTATAAGTCGCCAAACGGTTTGGCGACTTATAAGTCGCCCAACGGTTGGGCGACTTTGCCCTGACCACGGTTAAGGCCCAGCAGTATTTTGGTAAATACTTTTTTTCCAGCATTATTTCCGTAAATAATTAATTAATTAGCATTAATTAGGAAAAAAACTCGATTAATTATATAGATGACAAGATTGATTTGGAGATGAATGCTGTACAACAAACGCAGAAGCCATGCACCCACACAGGCACACACACGCATGCTATCTCTTCATGTCTAGTAGTACTCCGTATCATATTACTATTGTTAGAGCCCGCCGAAACCCGCGGGCTGACCCGTTTAAACCCATTTATTGGTGGGTTAGAGTTGTGAATTTCTTACCCATTTAGTTCGCGGGTTTAGCGGGTTGCAGGTTTAAGTGGGTTGGCCCAATGGGTTGGCCCGCGTGTCAATATACAAACATATAGTTTTGACTTTTATTATCTTCAACATTGTTCTATAAAAAAAATAATTACTATTACTATAATAAATATTCAAATAAAATGTTGAAACATACTAGTATATTTTATGTGAAGTTCGATACAATATTTAGCAACTAGTAGTCATGATTTACAAATAATCAAACAAAAAGTTTAAATAGATCTTTACTTTTATACTATTTTTGTTACATACCCTCTTATAGTTTTCAAATTCTCGTTTAACTAGTACGATAGTATTTAATATTTTTTAATTAAACTTAACAAGTATTGGGTTCTTAGTTTTTTGATTTCTTATATTTCCCTTATTACTACTTACTAATATAAATATATACTCCACCACAATTACTTTTAAAGAATCTTTTGTCATATATTCCCTCCGTTCCATTGGACTTTGCCAACTTTCCCTTTTTATTATTGTCCCTAAAAACTTTGACACTTTCCTATTAAAACAACTAATTTGTGGTTCTGCACATTTTTCTCCCCTCTGCACAAATTTCAATCACAGTTTTTACTATTCTTATTTCTCACCAACTTTGCATTTGACAAAGTCCAATGGGACCGAAGGAATACTTTTTTACATTGGCTCGCGGGCCAACCTGTTTAATCCATATAAAGCATAACCCGTTACGGGTTGGGTCTGGTTGACCCGTTTGACAACTATAACTATTGTTGTTGTTACTACCAAGTTCCTTTCAGAGTTCACCAGATAAATATGTTGTTGTTTTTTATTAGCAGCTTAATAGTAGCATGTCTAAGATAAATGTGTTGGGGTATATTACCCCGGCCCACTACCGTTCAGAAGCCCAAGACACCGCCCCTGTACGGGGCCCAGTCGACGAGGCTCATTTAGGCCAACCAACCCGTTTCGGCCTGCCCGGCCCATTCCGGCCCAACACGGCCCATTGGCCCATGGGGAAAAACCCTTACACCCCCTCCCCGATCTATAAATACGGAGCCAAGCTTCCTGTTAAAGGGATCCTTTTTTCCCTTTTGGCTCTCCTTTACTGGTGGAATTCTTCCTCTCTACTCCTTATCTTTCTAGCTTAGTTCAAACCTGCATTAATGGAGTTAAAGACATATGTATTATGTAATTGGTGAGGAGAGCATATTAATGAAGAAAGAGCGGGCTTGGATGTTAGCCTAAAAAGTCCTGTGGTTTTCTCCATTTCCGGGTTTCCACGTAAAAATCGAGTGTTATACCAAATTTATATTCTATATTTACAATCTTATGTTGAATTAAAATCAACATTGGCGCCGTCTGTGGGAATTTGGTCCAGCTTGATAACGGACACCGCAGCCTTCCTCACAGATGAGGGCCCATCCGGTACGTGGAAAATCGTCTGGGCCGACATTCACCAAGTAATTCATTTGGAGCAGACATGACCCCACTCACCGCCTAGTTGAATTCAAGATATTTACGCCGGTCAAGATTTTCAAGAAGTCGTTCGAGCTTCTCCTGTTCTTCCACAGTTGGCAACCCACGAACCCATCCTTCGCAAAAGATGAAGTCCGGACTCCTCGCCCGGCTGCGGAGATGCCGATCGGGGAAACTGCCGAGCGACGGAAAGCTAGAGTGGGAGGAGATCTCCAGGACGCCTGACTACCTGGAGGACCCGCGGAGCTCCGAACGGAAGTTCCATGAAGGGGCTTGATCGGGCTGCACGTCAACAACACCTTGAGGTGCAACGTTTACCCGTGACCGAAGGATCCACGGGTAGTAGGGTAACGGCCTACTCCCAGGAGATGTTATATGTGTCCTTTCACAGCAACGCCCTTGGCTGAACGGGAAAGTATGAGACCTTTGTCCAACGGGAAAGTATGAGACTATCTTATCCTATACACCGCCCCTGATCCGACGCCGCTATACAGTAAATCTATCGTTCGGCCATTTCCTGGTTCAGTCCTGGTACCTCGTCGCTGGCGCGACCACCATTCAACCCATCTGTAGGCTGCCTAGGTTAATGACATATCAACAACGGATGAGTTTCTGTTTTCCATAAGGTTCAGCCATCTCGAACGAGATTTCAAAGTGAATTTCCAAACAAATTTCCATGAAGAATTTCCCAACGAGATTTCCCGAACGAGTTGTTTTTCCATCAACGGATGTGCAACGCCATTATCTCAACATGCTCTCTGACGTAGAAGGGCAGCATTCTCAATGGAAGGCAGTGAAGGATGTGAACAAGAGCATACTTTCTCGAATAGATTTTTAGGCTCACTACTCAAGAAACTGAGAGACTTGTGTTGGGGTATATATTACCCCGGCCCACTACCGTTCAGAGGCCCAAGACACCGCCCCGGTACGGGGCCCAGTCGGCGAGACTCATTTAGGCCAACCGACCCGTTTCGGCCTAACACGGCCCATTGGCCCATGGGGAAAAACCCTTACACCCCCTCCCCGATCTATAAATACGAAGCCAAGCTTCCTGTTAAAGGGATCCTTTTTTCCCTTTTGGCTCTCCTTTACTGGAGGAATTCTTCATCTCTACTCCTTATCTTTCTAGCTTAGTTCAAACCTCCATTATTTGAGTTAAAGACATATGTACTATGTAATTGGTGAGGAGAGCATATTAATAAGAAAGAGCAGGCTTGGACGTTAGACTAAAAAGTCACGTAAAAATCGAGTGTTATACCAAAATTATATTCTAAACTTACAATCCTATGTTGGATTAAAATCAATATCATGTCTCATTTTGCCATTATACACATTAATTCTAGGTTTTTAGCCCTTTCATTTCAAAATGAGAAGATAAGAACTATTTGGTTTTAGTTACAACATCCTCGTTCGTACCAAGGATGAGCATATCATCCACAGAAAGGCAAATTATCACACGATGTGATCTGAACCTTTTTTTAATAACACGTGTCAGATACATTCACAATAAATCCATTTCTTTTTACCATAGCATTATGAAAATTTTCATACCACTATTTGGGTGCTTGTTTTAAGAAATATTCGGACCTCTTCAATTTACACCTTTTGTGTTCTCCAGTCCCACACAATTAACTAAGGTCATTAATAGCTTTTGGGGTGTGACCAAAGACAACAAATCTAGCTTTGAACTACTTAAAAATCCACTTACAGTTTATAGGTTTACATCCCTTTGAGATCAACTAGAACTCACATATGATAGCACATTATTGAGTCAAGTTCACTTTTAATGGATTTTTTCCAAAAGCTATCATCTATGGATGTCACTGCCTCTTGATATGCTTAAGGTCTTGTTCCTAGCTAAAGGAAAACTGACGCAAAACTTTCATCAATTTGATGTGAGTGTTCAACGTAACCAAGCTAAATTGTTATTATTTAGTATCAACTAGTATCAACCAAGTATAGTGATACTCCGTACTTATTATTTCTATTATTGCATTTCTTAATAATGTATTAGTATATAATATTCCAAATATAAATGGAAACAAACTTTACCATATTTTTAAGTTTAAGAATTTATAATAAGTGTGGTTCATATTTTTTAAATTAAGTGATGTATTCCAAAAGCAAAATCATGTGAAAATAATTTTATAGATAGATAAAATAAATATCAAGTAAAAATATTGATTTAAATAGGATTAAAGCTATACACAGTGTTCTATATATAATATTACGAATGTGTGGATATATTTGAATATTATATACTCAGAAAAGCTCCTTATTATTATTCAATATGAATGCCTAAATATTGTAATTATTCAACTTTTTTATTGATTGTATGTTTATTGCTATAAAATTTTTATAAGGGAATTTGATTTGACACCTCACTTTTGGATGATATTGGATTTTGCACTTCACTTTTAGAATCATTAATAAGAATGCACACATTAATGATTTTAAAAATGAGGTGCAAACTGCAAAGTGAAATACTATCCAAAAAAGGAGTTGCATACCTTCACAATATTTAGGTCGATGAATTGCATGAATTAATGATTCTAAAAATGAGTGTAAAATCTAATTGTTGATCGTGTTTTTTGGCGTTGAGTCCGGACTGACCCGTCATCTCATCATTTGGTTAAGTCGATTTGGGGTCCGATTATTACAAGATAGTCTAACACGAGTAGAGGATGGGAACGATTGATTTAAAATGATGTCAATTGACTGACTCCATACCTTCCTTGACGTTTACACCGAATTCCCACATGGTTCACCAAACATGCGTGTCTCCCTATTTCGAATGTTTTAGTATTCTTCATAGAGGTGTACATATTTTATATTGGGATAATCT